GCGAGGCGAGGAACAGTATTGGGGACCGAGCGGCCCCACTCCTAGCAGCTGGAAAGGTGAAAGCCTATGGCCGTGTCACGCATTCTGGAACCAGGACAACTGGCATGGTGAGAACCTGCGACGGCTGAAATCGAACGGTAACACTATGGTGAACCTCATTCCTAGATCTGCGACGGCTGAACACTCGCCCCCCCCGTGGAGATTTTGGTGAAAGAAATCTTTGAACTGAAATCGAGCCAGAACGCCGAATTGAGCGGCCCGACCAATGAGACGCCTCCCCCATAGCCCCCCCTGCGGACACTCCGATGAAGAAAACCGTACCAAGCGAGGGCTGATACCAAACCAGAACACCATAGCGAGCATGATTTCTGGATCGAATCGAGCCGCAAAACCATAGTGAGTCTAATTTCTGGTTCAGCGAGGGCTGCTATCAAGCCAGAACACCATACCGAACCTCACTTCTGTGTCAAATCGAGCCAGGATGCCAGAGTCTCAGTTCTGCACCAAATGTGGGGGTGAAACCGAGCCAGAACAACCGCCAGACCGGTGAGACGCATCCCCCTGGCCTCCCCGTGGAAATGGAAACCGAAGAATTATCCTGGCGAAGGACCCAACCATATGCAATTGTGAATAACGCTTTGTAGATGCCGCTTTCGGTGGGGCTCCTTATGGCGCCACGAAAGGCGTGCCACGAAACGCTGTCCTGGGCGTACGGGACGCATGAGGGCGGTAGCACTGGCCCTTTCGGTGGAGCTCCCTATGGGGCCACGAAACGTGTGAGGGGTGTGCCGAAATGGGTGCGGCGCCGCCATGCGAACGCAGCCACTGGGGCCTTCGGTGGAGCTCCCAATGGGGCCACGAAGCGTGTGAGGGGTGTGCCGAAATGGGTGCGGCGCCGCCATGCCAACGCAGCCACTGGGGCCTTCGGTGGAGCTCCCTATGGGGCCACGAAACGTGTGAGGGGTGTGCCGAAATGGGCGCGGCGCCGCCATGCCAACGCAGCCACTGGGGCCTTCGGTGGAGCTCCCTATGGGGCCACGAAGCGTGTGAGGGGTGTGCCGAAATGGGTGCGGCGCCGCCATGCCAAGCAGCCACTGGGGCCTTCGGTGGAGCTCCCTATGGGGCCACGAAACGTGTGAGGGGTGTGCCGACATGGGTGCGGCGCCGCCATGCCAACGCAGCCACTGGGGCCTTCGGTGGAGCTCCCTATGTGAGGGGTGTGTGAAACGTGTGAGGGGTGTGCCGAAATGGGTGCGGGCCGCATGCGAACGCAGCCACTGGGGCCTTCGGTGGAGCTCCCTATGGGGCCACGAAACGTGTGAGGGGTGTGCCGAAATGGGTGCGGCGCGCCATGCCAACGCAGCCACTGGGGCCTTCGGTGGAGCTCCCTATGGGGCCACGAAACGTGTGGGTGTGCCAAATGGGTGCGGCGCCGCCATGCCAACGCAGCCACTGGGGCCTTCGGTGGAGCTCCCTATGGGGCCACGAAGCGTGTGAGGGGTGTGCCGAAATGGGTGCGGCGCCGCCATGCGAACGCAGCCACTGGGGCCTTCGGTGGAGCTCCCTATGGGGCCACGAAACGTGTGAGGGGTGTGCCGAAATGGGTGCGGCGCCGCCATGCCAACGCAGCCACTGGGGCCTTCGGTGGAGCTCCCTATGGGGCCACGAAACGTGTGAGGGGTGTGCCGAAATGGGTGCGGCGCCGCCATGCCAACGCAGCCACTGGGGCCTTCGGTGGAGCTCCCTATGGGGCCACGAAACGTGTGAGGGGTGTGCCGAAATGGGTGCGGCGCCGCCATGCCAACGCAGCCACTGGGTGGAGTTCCCATGGGGCACGAAACGTGTGAGGGGTGTGCCGAAATGGGTGCGGCGCCGTCATGCCAACGCACCCACTGGGGCCTTCGGTGGAGCTCCCCATGGGGCCACGAAGCGTGTGAGGGGTGTGCCGAAATGGGCGCGGCGCCGCCATGCCAGCGCAGTCACTGGGGCCTTCGGTGGAGCCTCCCATGGGGCCACGAAGCGTGTGAAGGGTGTGCCGAAATGGGCGCGGCGCCGCCATGCCAACGCAGCCACTGGGGCCTTCGGTGGAGCTCCCTATGGGGCCACGAAACGTGTGAGGGGTGTGCCGTGATAGTGGGAGGAGGGAGGAGGGAGGGGGGAGGAGGCGGAGGAGGAGGAAGGAAGGAGAGGAGACGCGGGGCACCGTCTCTTCAAAACGAGGACCCAACACCACAGGACGGTTGGGAAAAAAAACACCTGTGAGCTTCATTTCTAATCCAAATCGAATAAGTCTCATTTCTGAATCTGCGAGGGCTGGAACCTAGCCAAAACACTTGAGTGAGTTCCAATTTGGAGGCGAAGCTATATTGTGGGCTTGACTTCTGGACCACATCGAGCCAGAACGCCATAGTGAGCGCTGCACGGCAGATGTGCCGGGCCGCCGCTGGGCCTGGGAGACGCCTTCCCCTGGCCCCTCCCAGTGGCGATTCTGGCGAAGGAACGCGTCGATCATGATTCGAGTCCTCCTAGCGAAACGCATGTACGGAAATTCGCAAGGGTTTCAGAATGTGGCCGCTTTCAGAGTCCAGCTCTCGCCTTCGCGCCGCGCAAGTCCGTGCTCAAGCTCTGCAAGAGCTTCACGGGTGGAGGCCGGCTCCGTTTCCAAAAAGCGGTTCTCGCCTCGGCGCCGCGCACCGTCGTGGTCGGAGTTCACGACAGCGTCGATGGTTCTCGCGGCTGAACGCACTCGCGGTGTGGAAGGCCCAGGAATGGCGTGCTGGCGCGATGCAGGATCGTCAAGGCGCAGCAGGAACAGTCAATCGCAGCGTTGAAGTCCCAAGACGGTGGTTCTGGCAGAACAGAACAGAAGAAGCCGCGCCCAGACGGCGCATCGGCACACATTGGCATGGAAAATGAAGGCCAAGAAATGTGAAGAAAACTATGCAGAATGCACGTGCGCCGGGTCACAGCCACTGAAAATAGACCAGTGCTGGGCGGCGGGTACCACTACAGGATACTCAAACAGTTGTCTCCAACGGGGCATTCCCCACAGTGAAAATGAACCCCTGTATGGGGCCTAGGAAGGGGGAACTTGGAGGGAGGCTTGATTGCAATGACGCTAATGGGTCTTGTGCTTACTTTGATCCTCCTCCTCGCCCGTAACCCTAGCTTGGATCCTCTCCTGCTCTTCTTCTCTCTCCCTCCCCCAAGAGCTCCCCTAGGGGTTTCCGCAACGGCTGTGGGGGAAACATCATCTGACAACTTGCCCAAATGTTGGCCCAACGTTCGGACACATCGCCAGTTCCAGGAAAGTTGGGGACGGCAGCGACTCGCCGCAGGCATCATCGATCCGCCACCCCCTGTTGCTTGCAAGAGGGGTGCTTGGCGAGCCAAGGCTTGAGTGACCCTTTGAACCCTCCCGACAAGTTCCACGTGGGGTCTAAAGCATAGAAAAAACAAACAAATCAAGCGAAACCATCTCCAAGACGACCAAGGTGGCCCAGAATAGCTTCCATAATGATCCCAAAGCCATCTCCAAGACGACCAAGATGACCCCAAGAGAGCCCAAGATACCTCCAAGACGGCCCAGCATGACTCCAAGACGGCCCAAGATGCCCTCGGGAGGCCTAAGAGGTCCCCAAGAGAGCCCAAGAGCAAGAACACATCCAGGAGGAGGGCCCGAAGAAGCCAAAGTGATCGATGAACTGAAGGGTTCCAAATGAGTATTGCTTTCTTGCCGTTTCAGTTTTCCCACAAGCCCAAGGCGGCCCCACACGTATTCAAGATGCCCACCAGACGGCCCAAGAGGCCGCTAACAATGCCCCAAGACTGGCCAATGAGGCCATACGACGGGCCGAGAGGCCCCCCAGGTAACCCCAAGAGGGCCCAAGACCTCCAAGGTAGCGATACAGAGCCCCAAGAGAACCCCAAGTCAGCGCAGAGGAGCCCCCAAGACGGCCTCCGAAAGGCGTGAGCTGGGCCACGAGCGTCATAAGACTGACCAAAGAGGGCCCCCCAGAGGCTCCCAGAGGCCCACAAGGGGCCCCCAGCACCAGGAGGCCCCTAGTAGGCGTCCCCTTCCTTCTCCTCTTCGTCCTCCTTCCCCTCCATCGACGCCGACTCCCCCATCTTTCTCCAACAGGGTTGCCGCCCTGGTTTCCACGACGGCTGGGGGGACACAGCGTCCATTAGCTAAACCAGGCTGTGGCCCCACGTTTGGCCACACGGGTACTTCCCAATGGGCATGGGGCGGTGGTGATTCGACGTAGGCGTCTTCAATGAAGGGTCGGCGTCACGGGCGTGACTCAAAGCAGACCTGATGCGTCGGTTCGCTCTATGTGAAGGGGCCCTGGGACACACAAATAAAAACACACAAATAAAAAGATTCCCCATATTTTCCCATATGTTCTGGATTTGTGTCTTCCCCCCCACTTCCCATATTTTCCTACATTTTCTGGGCAATCGACGATTAATTGTGTCTGTGTGTTTCTTTCCCTCCTGATCGTCAGCCTCTTCAGCTCGTCAGCCTCTTCATCATTGTTTTTGCAGCGTGCCTGGGCCGCCCACTAATAAAAACAGTCCCAGGTGCGAACGCGTAGTTGAAAAGTAACACCATGGTCGACCGACCGTTGAAGGAAATATGGTTGCACCATCTAAGTAAAATCGCAAACTCAGCAATCTCTCTGAACCCCCGCGACCCTGACCTTAGCATTGAAAGCGGCCACCCTCACCGAGAGGCGGACATGAGAGTCACGGCAAAATGCTCGCGCGCAAGCAGCCCTCAAAACCGAAGTCGGAGGCGAGGGCGGGAGATTACCAAGAACTGCCCTGGCGCCCAAGCGGTGCACGCTGCTCGTTTCAGCAGAGGTCTGGAGCGCTCCTTCGCCCAAGCGGTGCATATGGCGCCCAAGCTGCCGGTAGAAACAAGCGGGCGTCGGCGCAGAAGGCTGCAGCCGGCGCCGGGCCGGGGCCCGCTCGCGAAGGCCCCCGTGCGCGGGAGCCTAGCTGAACTCCCGCAGCTCCGACACGAGGTCGACCGTGGGCTCCCCCGCCCGGCGCAGCTCGAAGGTGCAGGGGTAGAAGTGGTCCTCGTAGGGCTCGGGCATGTTGATCTGGATCCCGCCGAGGAGGGCGAGGTATCCGCTGCCGAACTCGTTGTTGACCACCTCGAACATCGTCCGCTCCACCATGCTGTACGACTCGTGGGCGAGCGCGGCCATGGGATCCTCGGCGGCCGAGACCGCCGAGGCCACTGCCCCGATCTTCGCCTTCACGAAATCCATCTGCAGGTCGTACGACGCCCCGCCGCCAGAGGGCGTCCCGCTGCTGCTTCTCGCCGCGTTGTACGCGCCGATCACGGCCCCGCACGCGGTCGATGGGCCGCTCTGTCCTCGGCGGAGGCACTTGCCCACCTCTCCGTCTGCGGTGATTCCGACGTGGGGCCCGAAAGCGACGAGGATATGGCCGTCGGTGGCCACGTGGCTCGAGAAGGCCGCGAAGCCAGTCTTGCCGGAGAAGGGCGTTCCGCTGATGCCACCCATCGGGAAGACATCCCCCCAGTAGTCCTGCATGAGCACGGACATGCTGCCGGGTTTGCTGTTGACCTCGTCGGGGCAGAAGGACGTGCCAAGCAGCGTGCTATCGGTGGTGAAGCCGTACTTCTGCAGCACGCGAACCACACGGCCGTGCACCGCCTGGCCTGGCAGGGCCCCGGGGAAGTGCCTGTGGAGGGCCTGGTAGACTGGAGCAGTCGGCGGAGGGCTCCAGGTCAGCCACGCGAAGACCTCGCGCTGTGAGCCCACCGCGCCCTCTGGAGAGGTCTTGAGGTCCTGGAGGAGGGACTCATTGGAGAAACGGTCGAGCAGGTCGATCGGCGCCTTCCCCTCCTGGCGCACTTCGAACATGAGAGGCAGGAAATGGTCCACGAGCTGTGGATACGGCAAGTTGACCTGGATACCACCGATCAGTACCAAGCGACCGCTACCGAACTTTGTGTTCACGATCTTGAGCATGCGGTCCTTCACCATCTCGTATGCCTGGAAAGCGCACGACACCATTGGGTTCTCGGTCGCTGAGAGCCTCTCCGCATGCGCCGTGAACTCCTGCTTGATCTCGCTCATCTGCATGTCAGACTCGTCGAAGTCTACATTCTTGACTCTGGCCCCGAGGCACGCGTTGTAGGCGCCGATCACAGCTCCGCAAGCAGTGCTGCACTCCGCTTGGCCCCCCCGGAGGGTTTGCCCCACCTCGCCCTCCACGGAGATGCCGACATGCGGCCCGAACACCACGATAATGTCACCATTGTCCGCCACGTGGCTCGAGAAGGCAGCAAAGCCGGTCTCGCCCACGTAGGGCACTCCGCCGATGCCTCCCATGGGAAAAACCTTGCCGTAGTACTTCCGCATCAACGTGGGGAGATCTCGCTCCTGGTTATTGATCTCGTCCGGGCAGAACGAAGACCCAAGCAGCGTCTTCTCTGCTATGAAGCCGAACTCCTCCTCGAGCACCGACCTGAATCTGCCTTGCCCTGTGGGGCCACCAGGCGCGCGAGACTCTGATCCCCCCCATGGCCCCGCGCCCCACAGGTGACCACAAACATGGTTTTTAGGGCTGGCGGGGGAGGGTAAAGGGGGACGGATCTCAACTGGTGGCTTTGGGGCCCAGACAGCCTGAGGGTCTCCGCGGCCCGAGTGGGCCATGGGTGGCCGCCAGAACACCACAAGAGGCCTCCAGTCGAGGAGCAAGGAACAGCAAGATTAGGTGGCGCGGCCAGGGGGTACGTGAGAAGGGACAGGCCTTCTCAGACGGCGGCGGGGCTTCTCAAAGCCATCTGGCCTTCTGAGATGCTTCCCGTGTCATCGGGGAAGACCAAGAAGACGTCTCAGAAGGTCCGAGGCCTTCCGAGCCTCTTGAGAGAAGGCCTTCTCCCTCGCACTTCTCCCTGGACGCGCCGCCTGGCAATGACCCGCAGAGCCCCAGGAATAGGGAAAGGGAACATTTCTCATGCACGTCGAAGAAAAACGGCGGTCCGCGCGGATATTTCTCGGATCTGCGCTGGGCCCCCCCTGCCTGGCGCGCGGAGCGCGCCAGGGGCGGCGCCGCCAAGGGGTCCCCAGCGCCGACCCAAGACATCCGCGCGGACCGTCGAAAGAGCATGTTTATGCAGTCTGTCGCCGCTCGACCGCAGCGCCCCAGGAAATCCCCGAGATGCCACGACAGAGGCGCCGAGGGAGCGCCGCACGCGCCTCCTCCTCGATACTGAGTTGTCACTCAACCTCGTCCTTGTCCGTTTCCTCTTGCTTCGCCTTCTTCTCCTCGTGTGCCATGTTCTGCTCATCCTCCCCCCTCCTCCACCTCCTCCTAATCTTCCTCGTGGAGCTACCCCTCTTCCTCCAACCTCCTTCTCCTCCTCCTCCTCCTCCTCCTCCTCCTCCTCCTCCTCCTCCTCCTCCTTAGTCCTGATGCTCCCAAAGAGGCCTGCGGGAAGGTATGTTCGAGTACTCTCCACGGACACTTGGGGGCTTCAGGAAGACCCTCGAGAAAACTTGCCGGCGGTTCTCTAGCGGCTTTCAGGCTCTTCGCATGCAACCAGGCTCTTCGCCTGCAAGGCAGGCACACGTTCCGTTCGTTTGCCGCGAGGGGGGGTCCTGGGGTTACAACTAGAGGGATCCTGAGACGGAAAGAAACCCTTCCAGCATCGCCAAAGTGTCCAGGACGTACTCTGATCCCCCGCCACCCGGTCCTCCTCCTCCTCCTCCTCCTCCTCTTCCTCCTCCTCCTCCTCCTCCTCCTCCGTAGCGATTCTGGCTCAAAAGCCAGGGGGGCGGGGGGGGGGTCCGGTCGAGCGGCTGGCCCCACCAGGACCCCGCTGGTTACTTGACGTTGTGGCCAGAAGTTCGCGACGTCACCGCCAGCTTCCTGGGCCCGCGGGCTCGCCCAGCTACGAGTTGCGCGCGTCAGCCATGCCGGAATGGCCGCCCATGCAGCCGCCAGGCTGGAGCAGCAAAGAACGCGTTGGCGGTGGCGGCGGCAGCGGTGCCAGCGGCGGCAGTCAGCACCCCCCTGGGGACGATCCGCCCTGGCACGCAGCCGCGGCTGAGCCCGCGCCCATGGGCCCGCGCAAGTCCTTCTGGGGCTGCGCGTGCGAGGAGGCGAGCAACTGGGCTTGCTGCAGCCACTGCCAGGATTGCTCTCGCGCTGCTCCTCTGACTGTGCGGCAGCGCGCCCTGGAGGCTGAGCGCGCAGCTCGCGCCGAGGTGCCGCCACCCAAACGAGCTCGTCTCGCAAGAGCCTCCCGAGCAACGGGGAAGGGCGGCGGCAAGGGCGCGGCTGCCGCGGGCGGCCGGGCGGCCAAGCCCGCTGCGGGTGCCGACGGGCGCTGGCGCGACCTCGGCGTCGAGCTCACGACTGAGTAGCATACCAAGCTGCCCCAGCCCTCCCCAGGCGCCGAGTCGGCCAAGCGGCTGCTCACGCCGTAGTCCCAGCTGCAGCGCCGCGCGCTCTGGCAGGAGGGTGACCAGCGCAAGACCTTCGAGCGGGCTGAGGCTGCGCGGGCGGCTGCGGCCGAGCATGTCGAGAAGGCCCAGCGGCGGCTGCGGGAGGCCGACGACCGCCTCGTGGCGAGCAAGGTGGTGCTGGAGGAGGCCACCGCGGCCCATACGGAAGCGCTGCAGGCGGCCAGCCCGCCGGTAACTTCACGCTGGCACCAGCCGCCGCCGCGGGTCAAGGCGACTGCTGGGACCACGCAGGCGATGGAGGCCGTGTGCTGTAGCTTGGAGTTGGATGGCAACGCCGAGCTGCACCGCATGTCCAGCTTCCTGTAGTCGCTGCACGAGGCGGAGGAGCACGGCGCGCGCGAGTGCCGCATGGATGCCGAGGTCGTCAGCTGCGGAGACGATTCCGAGGCTTCTGCTGAGATTGCTGGCGGCGATGGGCCCGAGGCTGAAGTCGGTGCTGCGCGCGCGGGGGTGGACGACGAGGAGATCACGAACCACATCCTTGGCCTGTCGCACGTGGACCTTGTAGATGCCCAGGCTGCGGCGGTGGAGGCGCTCTCTGCGTTCGTTCCCGCCAGAGCCTTCGAGGGGCAGAGGCCTGGCTACTACTCTTCCGCAGCATGCGACGGCCTCGGGTACTACCGAGATCGAGGCGGCAAGCACCAGCATGGAGGGGGAACCGGGTCCCGAGGGAAACGGGCCCTGGGACCCTGGAGCCCTCCCCCCAGGACGAGCTCCTCATCCCGAGCCGTCTCCCGACGGCCCCGCGGGCCCGTGGAGGGCCCCGAGAGCGAGAGAACTCGGGTCCCGCTTCCTTTTCAGGACCCGCTTCTAAAACGACGCAAAGATTGGGACAAAATCGGATCGGGATAACTCGAAATCTCTGAGAATCGGCGGGTTTGGAGGATGTATTGGGCGCCGCGGCCGCTCCAGAGCGTTCTGGAACGCTCTGAGAGCGCTCCGGAACGCTCTGGATCGATGTATCCCGATACTAGCCCTGTTTTAGCTTCCCCCACGGCGACGGCCCTCGGCAACACGGCCGGCCAGCGATGGCGACTGGCCGCGGGCCCGTACAGTAGCGGCCGCCCCGGTGCGGCGGCCTGCCGCCGTGCGCGAAGAGGGCTCGGGGCCGCGGGTGCTGCGCCTCGCCGACCAGCTGCCCCAGCCCTGGGCGGGCGGCGCGCGCCGCGGGCAGCGGCGCCCCTCGGGCTTCTGCTCGATCATCACGGTGACACAGGGAGCAGGACAAGCGCCCTCGGAATAGGCGCCCCGACAAGCAAGGGCGTTTCGCAAACGCACCCAGAGAAGGAATCGGCCAGGGCAGGGCCGTTCAGTAAACGCCCGGGGCCGTTTGGCAGACGCCAGTTATCGGGGTCGGGGTGGTTGTTGTCATCCCTTGAATGAGCGTCACGGGATGGGGTTCGTTGTTGCGCGAGCTGGAGGTGCCAGAACGGGCCGTCGGCAGGGGTGGCATGGAGGGGGGAGTGTTTCTTAAGCAGCCTGGTGCACACGTACACACAACTTCAAGACCCTCTGATTCAAAATGCCTCCCGGCTACGTTCACAAAGCTCCAAAGCATTCCGACAGGAGACCAGCATGATTCCAACACGGCCCCCGATGGCCCCAACATGGTTACCGAGAGCACCCAGAGAGGCCCACGACAGCCCCTGCGACGGCACAACACTCACGCGTATCCTACTCCGCTGCTCTCTGAATTCTTCTCCGCGCCGTTCACCTCATCCTTCTCTCCATCCTCCCCTTCTCCTCGCCATTGGTCCCCCAGTCCTTCATCATACCGTTATGTTATTTGTTCTCTCTCTCTCTCTCTCTCTTCCCCTCTCCCTGATTGCTTCGTTGTTTAGTTTTGTTGTTGTTGCTCTCTCTCTCTCTCTCTGCACGTATTTTCATAACTATCAGGGCAGAATCTGAGAGAAGCATTAAGATCGGCACCGATATAAGGTGGTGCAGCTCTGAGCGATAGGGACATCTTTAGCTCAGACAATCTATCCATTCCTGTCAAGATCGAGATGGGAGGCGAGATGGGAGGCGAACGAGGAAACGCATGATAATATATATATAGAACAAAAGAGGGCAGAACACGACGAAGGGGACGGCGATGAGACCATGCCTCACAAAAACGGCTTACGAACGATTGCTGGCGGCGCGCCAAGGGGGGAAATGAGACGGGGCAGGGCTTGAGGCGGCGGAGCTTAGATCCCCTCCCGGCCTCATGAGAAGTCGTCTCTATCTTCGGGCAGGGCTTAGAAAGTTCCTCCGAACACCAAAAGCCTCGTGAGCCTTCTGGAAAGGCCCGCCCCTCTCCCTCTGCCCCCATGGAAGCACGCCGCCAAAGCTTGCACCTGGGGGGCCAGCGGGTGTGGCGCACGACGCCTCCTGAACCTGTTCAAGACCGCCTTCGAGGGCAGTGCGTTGGGGAAGTACCTTCGGCGGTGGACAAACCTCCCTTTAGTAGACCTCCCCTTAGTGAAAACGGCCTGGGACCGAAACCGACGGACCTGGACCCGCAAAAGTGACGGCCGGGACGCCCTCTCGCGAACCGAAAACGGCCAATTCCTCAATCGACGTGTCGGGGTAGGAGGTCTGTCCACCCCCGATACCTCTGCAGGGCGTTGAAGCAGGGGCTGCCCGTCCGCGGGCTCTTCGCGAGCCAGTGGAACACCCTGTCCGTGGCCGTCTCCATGAGCTCCCGGCCCGCGGGCAGGCACCGCATCGTCTCCTCCGCCTCGGAAGGGCGCCGACGACACGACCGCACCGATCCTGGGGACAGGCCGGCCCAGGATCCTCCTCCTGCTCCTGCTCCCTCCTCCTCCTCCTCCCTCCTCCTCCCTCCTCCTCCTCCTCCTCCTCCTCCTCCTCCTCCTCCTCCTCCTCCTCCTCCTCCTCCTCCTCCTCCTCTCCCCTCCTCCTCCTCCTCCTCCTCCTCCCTCCTCCTCCTCCTCCTCCTCCTCCTCCTGCGCCTCCTCCTCCCCCTCCTCCTCCTCCCTCCTCCTCCCTCCTCCCTCCTCCTCCCTTGTTCTCTGGCCCTCGGGGGGCCCCCCGCGTCGCCACGGCCGGACGCGACTCGGAAGGCGAGCCAGCACGGAGCCAGCACGGCGCCAACGACACGACCACACAGACGTCCGACGTCGTGCATTGTCCGAAACAGGGCCCCCTGAATGTCTGGACCCCTTCCATGAGGAGCGGCATTCCATCCCGCCTCTATTTTTGACGGCACCGCGCCCCCGGATTTGGTCCCGCGAAAGGGACGTGACAGGGTCGGTGCATAGTTTGCGTCCTGCGGTGCCTCCCTCGCGATGCTCTGGACTGCCACCGTCTTGCGCACTGCATCCTTCGGCTGTGTGCAACGAGTGGCCCTGGGCAAAAGTAGCCTCTGGCGCACGGTGTGCTGACACTTGTGCGCGATGCGACAACAGCGGCCCGTGCGCTTGGGCTTGCCCCCCCCCCGCGCCTCCCGAAAGCCGCGCACCAAAGGCCACTCTGACGAAGGGCCACTCCTACGTGCAATATCGCGTAACTATCGAGTCGGACGAGGGGGGTTGCACATGAAGAGTTGGCGAATCACCTCCGGTAACTTTTGGATAGATCCGAAGTGTACCGAACTTTGCAAACAACTTCAAGAAATATGGCGGAGATGGTCCGGGCTGCTGGGCTTCTGGCAAAACTTTGCGCAACCGCTTATAAACTGTTACAAACAACTAGTTGGAAGAACTCGCTCACGCTTTGATAACGGCTTTAGCCGAAAGCCACTAGCAATGAGCGATCCTCGGGTGAAGGATTTACCAACTCATGAAGCATGACAACTCAGATACCTTACATGCAGTCTCAACCGACCTTGCGTCAAACATAGAAGCATCCTCGACTGGTCATTCGCCTGTCCTTAGCAGCGCTCGCATGTCTGTAGCACGTGACCCATAAAATAATGAACGCCCTTAGCACATACAAGAAGTGGGATGAAGAAGAGCAATACGAGTAGGGGGAGGGGACAAAACATATTTAGGCGAAAGGCAAGACTGCACAGAAGCAAGGGCACGAGGAGGGAAGGGAAACACCAGGAAAGACAACAGAATGAAGGATCTGAACACTGACAAACAAAAAAAAAGCAACAACAACAATAACAACACTTGCACGTGTGCTGCTGATAGCGACCGCTACAACACGCAACGCATCAATCCAATCGGGCGTAAAACAATTAAACCCCATTCCCTCTAATGAATGAAACCCTCCAAAACAATTCCCCAAGCAATTCTTGCGGAGATTGACAAATTGGCGGGAAATCCGGGCCGATTTCGGTAAACGGCCGGGTTCCTGGGTTCCCGGTTCTGGGTTCCCGGGTTCCCGGTTGGTGGTTCCGGACCGATTTCGGTGGGCGGCGGGGTTCCTGGGTTTCCGGGTACCCGGGTTCTTGGTCGATCTCCTTATCGATCGGCCTCACCATCGATCTCACTACGTACTGGCCTGTCTATTGATCTCACACCAGATCCCTCTACAGATCGCACGAGTGATCACACGATCGATCTCCCTATCAATCTCACTGAATCGACTTCCCGATCGGTCTCACGATCGACCTCACGATCGTCCTTATCGATCCCACTATCGGTCTCACTATCGACCTCTTAAACGATCTCATCTTCATCGATCTCAATTCCCATGTCACGAATTGCCAACCCATCCACTGATTGGGTTTTCCTCTGGTGCAATTTCTAACAGAGCAACTCGGCCCCACATGCATCAACGAATGCCTTGAGAAATCGTCGTCTCAGCTACGCTTGCCACGAGAAAGTGCAATTTGAGGCCACGCGACAACGTCTGAATGAGCAGCGCCAGAAGCACCGCCCCTCTGTATGTCTCTGGATGCAACCCTGCCAGCTGCACTTTTGATCGAAAACTACGGGCGATCGCAATGTGGATAGATGGGCCCTTCGCCGCAAGTTCACTTGGAAGACTCAGCTTTCCAACTCGACGCTGCGCGCTTCGCGCGAAACAAATCGACGCCCGCAAGCCTTTGCTAAATGCCCTCCCTGGTCATTCAAACGAGAAAGAAACGACGGTACACAATGAGCTTCGATGCCGATGTTCGATGTCCTCAATGTCTTTCATTGCGCAATGCGCAACTGTCTGCAAAATGCCTTGTAGCATGTTGCGGGCCCTACCGAAACAATCGCGCGATAGTGCGCCCGCGATTACTCGGGGCCGCGCGCTATAACTCCACTCTAACCGTTTTTCTTATGCTTCGAGCCCACATTTGTGTGGTTTCTCGCCCGCGGGGCACGCGCTCACCCAACGAATGGGCGGTTGAAGTGTTGATTAAAAACTGATTGCCGTCAATGCGCGAGCCCCTGTTCATTTGCTACGCGCGACATTCGCGAATAGAAAACGTGGCCTGGCACCCCCTGGCCCCCCTGCAGTTCCAGCCAGCGCGAAGCACAGCCGCATCGCCGAACGACGCCCCAAGTTCGGCGATGGCCACAGTGGAAGCTCCATCGGGCAAGCCTGCGCTGCGTCATGAGAGACGTATATCGTATCCACTTGGCCGAAGCATGCACTGACAGATTTGTCGAATCACTTGATCCATGCCTGACCTGCATTTCTCCGCGCCTTGTTCCGATGCAAGGCCAGAAATCTCACATTGCCAGACAAGCTGACCCCATTCCAGCAAACGCCACACACGCATCCAATGGATCGTTTGTTCCACTCCTTTATGGTTTGGCCTGGCTTCGCCTCGGCACCGCGCGAAATGATGCGCGGCGGATTGTCAGCGGAACATAGCGTTGCATCGTGCGCCCGTCGCAACAAGGCTGCGCACCGGTCGCATCCTGCAGCTGCATGAAATATAGGCAACGGGTTAACGATCTCCACCTTCCCAAATTCACCAGTCTTCAGCTCCAGTTGGATCTACAAGTGGGCTCAAAACCAATTCATGCAAACGCAATCGCACCGACCACGTCCAACTGCGAAAACAACCAAATCCCAAAAACAAGGTCAAGAGCGCGGCCCTGCTGGCCCTTCACATTTCAGCGTTTGCGTTGACGCGGCCATGCGTTCGGCGGGAAACGCGCGGACAACTGTGGGCTGCCCTTGGACATTACGATTGCCACCACGATGCGTACGTCAAGACTCGGCGCTGCAGGAAAGGCCCCTTGCCGAGCACCCCTGCCGAATATTCGAGGTCCACCCCGCGGCCTTTGTAAGCCGCGGCCCGTTCGGAGTGATGGCGCCTTTCTGGGCCTTTCTGGCAGCTCTGATATCTGCGGCGGGACATGCTTCTGGAAGCTCACTCACCACCTCCCACCCCTGGACTTGGCAAAGAGCGCGCCCAAGGCCGATTGGGACACGCTTTGCAAACTCGCGCGTGCTCTGGGTATCTTGCGAAGTTTGGCATCTTGTTCCACTGGCCCACAAGCGGCTGCGGTAGGTGGCGGCGTGGACAGAGTCTGAATACAGGGTGGTGGCCAGAAGGAATAGGTTCATTGCTTTTGGCCGAACAGGGTCACTTGGCGTTTGCCGCGCGGTTGCGCAGCTCCAAAATGACAGCCGGATGGAGAGCTACAACAAGTGCGCGGTCCTGCTTGGCATGGCCTGGCTTGGCATTGGTAGCCAGCGTGGATGGACACCGCGCCATGTGCTTCCAGCAATATTTGCGATGCTACCTGTGTATGGGGATCTATGTCATGAAGTACACGAGGAGAAATCTACGTGGTGCATCCTAAGGGGTGAAAACTAATCTTTGACCGTCTTGAAACTGTCCTCTCCACTGCTCGTGCAAACATCCCACCCTCCCACCCGCAACTTGGTCGCAAGACCTCTTAAGACAAGACCGTGACGGTACGTACCACATGACACTTGGCCACGACACCGACGCCGACGACGACAGCGACAACGACGACGACGGCGCCGCCGACACCGACTACGACGACACCGATGACGTCTCCAACGATTTCGACGACAACGACGACACCGACGACGACGACGACGACGTCAACGACGCCGACGACGATGACGACGACGGCGACTACGACGACGCCGACGACGTCTCCGACGACCTCGACGACGACAACGACGCCGACGCCGACGACGACGACGAAGACGACGACGACGTCGCCAACGAAGACGACGACGAGGGAGGAGGGAGGACGACGACGGCGACAACGACGACATCGACGACAACGACGAGGGAGGAGGGAGGACGGCGACGACGCGAACTACGAAGAAGGAGGAAGGACAGCGGCGCCGACGACGACAACGACGAGGGAGGAGGGAAGACGACGACGACAACGGCGACGACGACGACGGCGACGAAATAGGAGGGACGACGACGAGACGCCGACGACGGACGACGACGACGACGAGGAGGAGGAGGAAGGACGACCACGGCAACAACGACGACGGAAACGACCACGACGCCAAAGAGGACGACGACGACGAACACGAGGAAAGACAGAGGACGACGTAGGCGACGACAACGACGACGACGCGGGAGGAGGGAGGACGGCGACGACGACGACGACGACGCAAGAGCGCGCGCGCGCACGCTTGTGTTGAAAATCCGTGTTGTGAAACCTTGTGTTTTTGTAAGTTTTTGGACACACGATTTTGAAATGCTTCGGGGACCGATAGGTTTTGAAGGGTTTCGGCATACGCACGCGACGACGCGCGCGTTTGCACTTCGTCCCATTTTTTGCAGAGGATTCTCGCGACGGCACACGCGCAAAGGCGTTCGACAGGTTTCGACATGCGCGCGCGAAGCCCGTTTGGTAGCATTTTGTGTAAATCTTGAAAAACCTATGGTTTTCTCAAGATTTCGCGAGAGCTCGCGCGGAAGTTGTTTTAGCAAATCAGTGTTGCAAAACCCTATGCTTTCGTATGTTTTTTGGAATTCGATTGCGAAATTCTTCTGGCACCGAAGGATTTCGGCATGCGCGCGCGACGACGCGCGCGTGTGCACTTCGTCAATTTTTTTGCTAGGGATTCCTGAAAATGTGTTGTGGTAAAACAAAAAATGTCACCGCATAGTGTTTTTCACCAGGGAACCTCAGCGGGGGGGAACCCGGCCCCCCTGGGATAGTGTAAATTCATATTTAGGATGGACATGTGGTCAGAATCATATATGATTTACATACCCGAAAGGGGGAGTGATAACGCCGGGGGGGGGGGTAGATCCTGTTCTGTTCTCAGAAAAGAGAATTTACATACGTTGCGCAATCGATGTTGTGCAATCAACGATGCGCTGGCAACCTCCGCGGTACAATCCACGTGGCGCAATATATGTGGTGCGACCTGCGGCGTGCAATCTACGCGGTGCAATTCACACTGCCGAACTTGAAGTTGTCAACTCAACTGCTCGCGCAATCTTCCCACCCACTCACCCGCAACGCATGTTTTGGAAGTGTCTCTTGAAATCTCATGATTTGCGGTAAACGAGTGTGCGCGCAGAGATTTTCTGCAGAGGATGAAGGAAAGGGAATACGGTCCTGTCTGGGATGGTATAAATTGAATGGACGATGGGGCAGGACCGCATGTAGATTGCAATACCAAGCGGGGACCAGTTAAGGCCGGGGGGCAGGGGGGGAAATCCGATCATTCTTTTAGAAAGGAGAATCAATATTGCGCAGTATGCGCGTGGCAACGTCGTGGAACTAACGCAGTGCAAACTGTGCTATGCAAGATATGTTGTGAGACTTATGTGGTACAACGCACGTTGTGAGATCTACCAGGCGCAGCGAATACGTTGGAGCTTCATTTCGGTTATCATGATGGTGTGGAACAGCTCCATTGTTTTGGGGCCGCGGGAACTGTAGATATAGATCCCAGCCACCACTGCCTCAAAGTCAGTTGCTCCCGTGTCGCAAAGTTCCTCCAACTGCTGGCTGGTGCATGTCTCAGTGAACTGGGCGAACGACTTCGCCCACGATGTCCAAGACTTGGCGTCGCTCAGGCGGACTGTGACTGTGTTGAACTTGCGAATGAAAACTGCATGATTAACAGCCGGTCGTTTTGGAATCAAAAGCGTTCGCCGAAACATGTCGGCACAAATCTTTTTAATCGAAGCAGTCGCTTGGTCCCAACCCACACTGCTACTATCCTCGCCATCCTGATAGGTCGACCGTATATGTGCAACACCCAGCATTCTGCAAGTTCAATATGGTCTGACTCCCGTCAATCCTCCTTGTTTTTTGGGGCATCACATGCACCCTCGCACAGCCCGCGAGGCCCATCACAAAAACCCTGGTCCCGCACTGTTAAGGCAAATGCGTGTGTCACGGAATCGGTGCACGAGCAGTTGCACCAGGAGGAAACTTGAAACGCCTTATTCGAATAAGACAAAACGTCGGGAGCATGAAACATAAGCCCACTGCCATCATGCGAGCGCGGAATGATACTAATTCCTCCCCTTTTCATATCGGTGGAACCACGGTGGAAAAGGGGAGGGCGAGCAAGAAGCAGACGGGGACGCAGAGAAGCGTCGTCATCTCCTTGCCTACGTATCCGTTTCACCATCCATCGTGAATTTGTTGATGTGTCAGCAATTCGTCGCCGAGACGCCGGATCCACCGCTGTTTTGGTAGCGCCCGCCCGCCAAAGAAAAAGGCACCGTAGACGTCCACAAAGTAAAAGGCTGAGTTCGGAGTGTGATCACAACAGTTTCCCATGCTCTCACTACCTCACAATCTTCGATGTATTTCCTCATCGTGATACGAATATGATAGAACACTGCAGCCATTGCCGTCTCAACAGGGCTTTCTTATCAGCGGGCATCTTCAAAAACGCGAGCCACGCTACAATTCGGATGGAACAAAACATGCCTCTTCACAGGCAAGGGCGCTTGAGCAACAATGGATTGTAATGATTGCCGTCGACACTTGGGGCTTGGGGACATAGACTGCCTTGTAAGAGCAATTGGCTTCATCAGTGCACTGGCTGCGACAAGCCATGCAAAACCCAATAATCCAATCGAACCTTCTGAGTTGATCTACCGTCATAGCGTGCACAACAATGCTACAATACCTATTGCTAAACGTAAACGTTCACAACCCCACCCCAAACATTTACTTAAACGTTTAGCGAACAAGCCTAAGCGCTTACACACCATCTGGTAAATTCAATCCATGGCTATGGAACTGCTTAGCTAAACGCTTAGCTAACGAAGGCAATGTCTCGTAATCCTTACCGATCTCTGCTAGACACATGCACCATGAAGCTGAGCTGCGTAAGCGTGAGTGCTGTCACAGAGCGTGGCGAAGAGTTAGCAGAGGTTGCCAGGGCTTAGCACAGCATAGCAGAGCTTAGCAAGAGGTTGCTTAGCCAATCATTGGCATGGCTTCGCTAAGCCTCAGGCTGCCTTGCAAAACTTGCCACAAGACGGAATCCACCCAGTGCCCTGCTACCTCGTCGGCGCCGCCTCACCCGATCTCACGTTCAAGTAGGCGATCGACTGCATAATTGATTTTTCCGCAAAATTCAAGTGTTCGTCGAGTCTCACAGGAAATGCGTACGAGTGCCCAGCAGATCTGAGAACCTTCTTTTGGAGGCCTAGAAATGGGCACCAACACCAACACAGGGGGTTGCCTCCACAGAGGGAAGATGATCCTAGATCTTCGGCGTTGGTGGTACTATTTCGGCCACCTTGGAAGCCAGAATATTACCACCATCACCGAGATCGGGATCATCTTCCCTCGGTGGAGGCACACCGCCGAAATTGGTGTTGGTGTCAACCTCTAGGCCTGCGATTCTTCGTATGCCTCGCAACTGCGGCGCAGCCGACTCCTTCAGCCTGACCTAAGGAACGACAAATAAGGAACGGAGCCCTTGTTCTCCAAGGAAACAAGCATAAGGAACGATACATAATAATAAAAAAAAACTCATAAGGAAGGGGATACGTAACGCATGCAAGCCTCAAGGAACGACCGAGCCCCCTTTGAAAAGTAAGCGTTCCTTACTCAAGCCGCTCACTGTGGAATATTTCGGCCACCTTGGAAGCCAGAATATGACCACCATCACCGAGATCGGGATCATCCTCCCTCGGTGGAGGCACACCGCCGATCTTGGTGTTGGTGTCAACCTCTAGGCCTGCGAAACACCAGGATCTCGAGAAGCGTCTCAGGAAACCAACAGAGGACACCGATACCGCGACTCCCCAGGCCTCTCCTCTTGCGCATACTGACCAGCATGTCGAACCGAGCCTAGCCGTGGCGACGAGGGCCTGCCCATCATAACATTACCACCATCACCATCACCGAGATCGGGATCATCTTCCCTCAAAGGAGGCACACCGCCCGAATTGGTGTTGGTGTCAACCTCTAGGCCGTTTCTTTACCGGTTCCGTTCCGTTCTGGGCCGTTGTTTTACCGGTTCCGTTTTTGTTACCGGTTCCGACGCCGTTTTTCTGCCGGTTCCGACGCCGTTTTTTTACCGGTTCCGTCGCCGTTTTTTGACTGGTTCCGGCTCTGGTTCCAATCCTGGAGCCGTTTGTTGCCGTTTCCGGTCGCCGTTTTTTTTGCCGTGTCCATTTTCAAAGGACACTTTTTTGGAAACGGTGAAAAAACGGCCCTGCCGTTTCCAGAGCCCACAAAGCGAGTGCCCAGTAGATCTGAGAACCTCCTTCGCATGCCTCGCAACTTCGGCGCCAGCCGACTCCTTCAGCTGCCGCCGCCGCAGGCGGCCCCGCGCCACGGACGCCGCCACGCCCACGGCGGCGGCGCCGAGCACCGAGATGACCAGCCAGCCGTACTGCCCGAGGGCCTGGGGACCGGAGAAGTCGGCGGTGGACAGACCTCCCTCCTCCCCCTCCTGCTCCTCCGCCTCCTTCTTCTCCTCCTTCCTCCTCTTCCTCAGCCTCCTCCATCTGCTTCTCCTCCTAACTCCTTCTTCTCCTCCACGTCCTCCTCCATGACCAGCCAGCCGTACTGCCCGAGTGCCTGGGGACGGGAGAAGTCGGCGGTGGACGAACCTCCCTTTGGTACAGAAGGGGCGTTGACCTAACGAACCCTAAATAAGGAACGAGGCCCCTTTTTCCTATAAGTTTAACTCCGACTTCCCATCGAAACCCTAAGCAAAACCAAGGGCGAACTGCAAAACAACTAAGGAACACCGAGCCCCTCCCCAACAAGAAGGGTTCCTTCCTCAGTGCCCCGACTGTACACCTCCCTGTCGTGGAAACGGCCTGGGACCGAAACCGACGGACCTGGACCCGCAAAAATGACGGCCGCGACGCCCTCTCGCGGACCGAAAACGGCCAATTCGCTAATCGCCTTGTCAGGGTAGGAGGTCCGTCCACCCCCGAGAAAAGGCGACACCTCGACCACCAGCGCAACGAGCCAGGGGCCCTCTCGCCCCGCTCGAGACACCCGAAGACGAAGCCAGGACGAGGGCAAAATCGGGTGAGGATGAATGGAGAATCTCTGAGATCTGGCGTTGTGGATGCCACGAAAATGGACACCCTAACAGTCCTATCATTGAATTTGAAATGTGTCTCGAATGTAGGAAAAATGTTCTAAACATATTTTAAACATGCTTTCAAAGCTGAAAAATGTTTAACACATGTTTTAGACAGCTGGAAATTATTTGGCAACATGCTTCCTCCCCATTGATCGTCCTCAACAAATCTGGCGGCTTCGGAAGATGTATCGGGCGCCGCGGCCTTCTCAGGCGTTCCAGAGCGTTCCGGCATGCTCTGGAGCGGATTGATCCTTATAGCCTCGTCCGGAACACCCCCTGCCCCCCAGCCTGCGGTTGCACCTTGCACCGTAGACCTCCACGCTGGAGGTGGCACTCCCTGGTCTACCAGCCTCGAACGTATCCCTATCCCTAAGATTGACACGCCAAAAGACGATGACAATCTTAGGGATGCGCCCTCAAAAAATAAGGGGATCCCTAAGATTGGCATCGTGATAGGGGAGATGCCCAGCATAGGGATAGGGATATGCTCCAGGCTGATAACTGGTGGTGTTTGTGTCGCTCCTTCCCCCCCGAGGCCGAGGTACGGCGCTGCAGGAAAATGGAGTTCTGCTGCATGTTCCGGGCGGGATCGACATGTAATGGCCCCGGGGCACAGAACTGGACGAAAACGCCCGGAACATATCCCTATACCTATGCTGGGCACCTCCTCATCACGATGCCAATCTTAGGGGTTCCCTTGTTTTTTGAAGGGGAATCCCTCAAATTGTCATCGCCTTTTGGCGTGTTAATCGTAACGATAGGGATACGTTCGAGGCTGGTAAAAACACCAGGATCTCGAGAAGCGTCTCAGGAAACCAACAGAAGACACCGATACCGCGACTCCCCAGGCCTCTCCTCTTGCGCATACTGACCAGCATGTCGAACCGAGCCTGGCCGTGGCGACGAGGGCCTGCCCAGAAAGGCGAGAAAGAGAAAAGGGTAGCGGCATCGGCAACCTCCGAAACCATCCGAAAACCTCCGAAACCATCCGGAACCTCCCAAACCCCCGGAAGGCCTCCGAAACCCTCCAACATCCTCCGAACCCTCAGAAACCTTCCAGAGCCCTCCGGAGTCCCGAAACACATCGAAGCCCTCCAGAACATTCCGGAACCCCCCGAAACTCTTCAAGACCCTTCCGGAACCCTCCGAAACTCATCCGAACACCTCGGAAACCCTCCGAATCTTCTGACAATGCCAATCCCCGGCTTTTTGTGGTTTTCGAATGGACCATCAATTTCCCCCCAAACTCGAGTATGCACGAAGGGGGGGCGCCCGTCCTCGATGGGGGTGCGTCCAAGAAGCCCCTTTGAAGGTACATCCCTGAGTTTCCTATCTTTTCTAACCGCCCTGATTTCTAGGGGGCAAGAAACCGCCTGTGATCCGAATGCAGGATCCATCACCATCGAATCGGGCATTCGGATCGCCCCGGAATGTGCGTCGGATCTGGCTGTATCGGCACGGGGTCGACGTCGAACCGGATCGGCCGCGCCAAGGTGCACAACGGCGCTCTGCAAGCATCTGGCCGCGTCGGACCGTCGGCACATCGGAACCGAATCAGACCGGGCCAGCCGGAATCGACCTCGAAGCTGAGCGATTGGATCGCCCTGGATCCCCTAGGACTGGGGGGGGAGCGAGGGGGCGCAGTGGGCCCGTCGAGGGGAGGCGGGGGCGGGCGGGGAGGTGGACAGAGGCGGGGGGGAAGGCAGGGGAGGGGAGGACGGCGGGCCCGAGACGCGGGAGGATCGAACCCTCCCCCCCTCCTCCTCCTCCTTCCTCCTTCCTCCTTCCTCCTCCTCCTCCTTCCTCCTCCTCCTCTCCTCCTCCTCCTCCTCCTCCTCCTCCTCCTCCCTCCTCTCCTCCTCCTCCTCCCCTCCTCCGCCTCCTCCTCCTTCCTCCTCCGCCTCCTCCGCCTGGATCGCTGGATCGGATCGGCGCGGGCCCGGGAGGGCCTGCGACCACAGCGGCCCCGGAGGCGGCGGCCGCGGCGCCCCCGGCCGGGCGCGGGCGGCCGGCGGGCCGCGCAGGGCGTCCTCGCCCGCCGCGGGGGCGGCCGGCGCCCGCCCGAAGCCGCAGCCCGCGGGCGCGGCCGCGGCCGCCTGGGCCGCCGCAGGCCCTGCAGGCGGGGCGGAGGGCTCCCGGAGGGCAGCGGAGGGCTCCCGGAGGGCAGCGGAGGCCCCAAGACCGGCGCCCTGAAGAGGCGCCCCCGCAGGTAGTTCCGAGGGCAGGGCGTGCAATTCAGCCTAGACGCTGCATTGGGAAAACCAGAGGGCAGCGGGGGGCTTCCCAGACGTGGTCGCGTCGTTAAAAACAAAAAGATCCGGACGGAGGGTTTGGGCTGGTTCTTGTCGGCCTCCGGGGGCCCTCGCCGGGCCTCGGGGCCGTCCAAGAAAACGACTCGGGACGAAAAACCGGTCCCAGGGAAAGGGCCGGGGCTTCCAGGGACGCCGGCCTGAAAAAATCCGGACGGCGCAGGTCTGGGTTTGGAGGTCGAAGGGGGCAGAGCGCGCGGATCAATGTGGAGCGTCCGGAGGCCACGCGCATATACGGGGAGGCTGGTAACACCAAGGGCTGGGATCGATGCGGGCAGTGGGGCGCACACCCCGACCACAAGAAGACAGAGACCTCACGGTCGCCCCAGAGATCCCACAGTCGGCCCGACGGCAATCTCCGCGCAGGAGGAAGCAAAGCAGGACAGCAGGACATGACAAATACAAGCGTCGGACCAGCCCTGGGAGGCCTTGCTCGGGCCAGTGAGCAAACGCTGCCCCATGGAGCACACCCCAAGGGGCATGGGGCATGCCCCATGGGGGGCGATGCGGCTCGTTGTGGAGCCCGTTGTTCATGACGCTCGCGTCGCCGATGCATCGCCGATGTCGCCAATGCATCGCCGATGTATCGGCGATGCGGCGCGATCGTCCGACCCCATGTACTCCGACCCCATCTAGGAGTCCCCTAAATCCCCGCTGCTTCGACGAACAATGCAGTCGCCGAGGAAAGGGCTCTCGGGGGCCTGTCGCCGACCTGCCGGCGACAGATCGCCGACTCGGGCTCGACGCTCCCCCGAACAGGGCAGAGGGCACGCCCCTATTGGGCACCGAGCGTGCGGCGCGCTCCGTTGGGCCCGGGGCGTGCCCCTGTGCGGCATGGGGCATGCCCCACGTGCCCACGGGGCATGGGGCCTGGGGCTGCGCGGCCCCCCCCCCCCCCCCCCGAAAAAACAAAGCAGTTGGTGTCGCCACGCGGGCCCGCTGTACGGCCAGATTTGGAGGCCTGGAAATTGGCACCAACGCCAACACAGGGGCTCTGCATCCACGGGGGGAAGATGATCCTAGATTTCGGTGTTGGTGGTGATAGTTCGGCCACCGTGGAAGCCTGAATATTGCCACCATCACCGAAATCGGGATCGTCTTCCCTCGGTGGAGGCACACCGCCGATATTGGTGTTGGTGTCAACCTCTAGTCCAGAAAAACGTGTTTGGCGAAGCCACGCGGGCCCGCCGCCCTTCCCGCAAGAGCAAACACGAAGGCACGCCCAATTACGAAATACACACAGCTTCTGAACAGCCACGGATGGCAACCGAGCGAGACAAACCAGAAACATAACACCAGCCATGTGAACAAAAAACAAAAAGTATTGCAGTGTACCGCGCGACCCCCCCGCGCGAGCCACTCCAAAAAACAGGAAAGGCCTGGCCACCTCCGCGCAAGAATGCGTCGTCGGCGCATGCCCTCTGTGGGCGGCCCAGCTGGGCCGAACGAGGAAACGCGAGCGAATATGAGCACAAAGATGTCTGCAGGGCCCCGGCGGGCGCGCGCGGTGCCCTGGAAACGAAACGCAAGCGGATGGTTGCTCAAAGGGTTTGCACTACAGTCGGGGCGTGGACCTAAGGAACCCTAAATAAGGAACGAGGCCCCTTTTTTTCCATAAGTCAACCTTCGGTTTCTGTCGTAAACAGAAGGAAAGCCTGAGGCAAGCTGTGAAACACTTAAGGAACGCGGAGGCCATCCCGAACGAAAAGGGTTCCTTCTTCAGTGCCCCGACTGTAGTTACCCTTGTCCAAATTCGGTGCGGCCCGACGACAGAAAGACAGTCGGGAGCCCAGAACATGCAACACAACCGGACCTGGCCCGCATGTGTGTTTTCAGCCTCCCGAGCAGCGGCCGCACGCTGGAACAGCATGGCCCTTGTGGCCGATTCCGGGAACCCGGAACCCAAAATTGTCGACGTCTCACTTTTACTTCCGTGACTGCGCTCGCTACAGTCGGAATTGATTGGACAGGACACGCGAGAGGACACAAGACCCT